TCTGAATGGAACAGTAATTTTATCCAGAGATTCCCACCACAGCCGTTACTTTTATATGTATCTGTATATGCATACGTGTGCCTGCGTATTCACGCATACTGTATCATTTCATTGATTAACTATTAATAAATACGAATATGAGATAAGTGTCTTGTAGCATGTAAGTAGGTTTCTATTTGAGTTTTTAAGCTATTAAAAATATTAAGCCATGTTCATTTTAGTAAGGACGGATCGGTGGCTATAGTTTAATTTAATTATAGTTATCAGAAGCGTTATTTGTCGCAAATTTTTTTGGTAAAAGGATATAATAAACAATTTCCTCTAAATTAGTTGTACACATTCTTGTAACGGAAAAATAGTATAATTTGTTATAAATTTTTTATTTTATATATCGATAAATTGATTGATTATATTGATTTTAATTTTTTTTAATAAAATCAAAGTTTTTTCCCTCAACCAAATCACATCATTTTAGGTAATCAGGAGGCAGCCTATTCCTTTGCTTATCTAAAGCCTCCCAACAATTTGACCTTTTCAAAATAACTCATTAACACCAAGAAATAAAACTCATGAAACAAAACACTACTAATATTTAATAAATAAACTCAAAGATGGCTAACCAAAGAAGTAAAAACTTGAAGATGGGAGAACACCATGACGTGGCATTGGCCATCGCTGGCGACGAGACAGTGATGTTTGTTTTACTGACCATGAAAATACTTAGCTGAGGGATAAATTTCAGGCGAATATACTCGTTTGAATATCAATTAAAATGATTTATTAATAATTTGATCATTAATGTACTTCTTTTATCCTCACAATTTATCAAAAATATTCCTTAGAATAACTAGATATCATGCTGGGTTCGTGATTTCCAGATTAGAAGTTAGATTGTTTATGGACGATAATCAGCAGCGCAGCACATCTTTTTGCTTTCTCATTTTCATCAAGAAACAAAAAGGAGAATATTCTGACTCAGTGAGAACACTTTAGCGGAGAAATAGAAGAATTAGGAGAAAAAGGAACCTCGAAGGCCTGAACATTGAAGCCATGACGGACCAGCAACGATGCCGCATCCAAGCTTAATTCGTCCAAGCCGACAAAACCGACGGAGCCGGCGACGAGTTTCTGAGACACCATAGCTATGACCTCTAAGCTTCGATTTCTGTGGCCTTTGGTAAATGGGAATCGATCGAACCAGAGACTGAGAGACTGCTGAAGGCTAATTTGAGGCTGAATGAGGGTAGCAACTGAATATATAGAGACAAATATGAAAATTTACTCAATCAATCACATTAATTAATTGTGAAAGGAGGAAGGTGGATATAGAATAGAAGAGCGAAGAATTCGGTTATTTTTTTCTGACGTGAAAAGAGTATGCGATTGGGTTAAGAAAGGAAAGCGCGCGGAAATAACCGTTGCTCTTGGCTTAATAATTACGGCCTGACTCATTCCGGTGTCATTCATGATCATCTTTGGTTTTTTTTTCTTTTTTCTTTTTTACTCTCTTGAGGACAGATATCATAATATTACCCGGTTCTAATTAAAAGATCTAGTTGACTAATTTGATAATATTAAAAAAATAAGTTAAGTTAGTTATTTGTAATAAATAAGTGTTGTCATTTTTAAAATATCTTTGTCAATTAAGTATATTGGCTAGAACTATTATGATTAGAAGGACTATCTTAAAAAAATACATAAATACGAGAGACAAAATAGATTGGGATCTTATAATTAAGACCAAACTAAAAGTCAAATAGGATCTTACATTAAGAACCGGTAGTACTGTTCTGACTCATCAATTGTTTGATCTTATGGGTAATGGATCATTGTTTTGGGGATCCCAAAAAATTATCTTGGCCGTGACAAGATGATTAAGGTAGATAAGACTATTGTTTTTTCATCTCAGTAAATAAAAAATAAGCCGGTGTTAATTATTCAAAAAAGAAGATTGTTACGAAAATAGAAAAAATATAAGAGATTGAGATGAGAGAGATGGAAAAAAATAAGAGAAAATTATAGGACGAAATAAGCAGGAATTCTAGAAATGTATTTAAAATTCTTTTATGATAACAATATAGCATGCATGATTTGGTTAAAAGGAAAATAAGAGAAAACTGGGAGACAAAATGAGGAGTTATTAAAACCCAACAATATACATAAAATTCTTTTATGCTAACAGTACATCATGCATGATTTGGCTAAAAGAAACATAAGGGAAAATTGGAGGATAAAGACTAGTCTAAAAGGCTATGAATACATAAAGAGAAGGATTAGACAACATAATTGCATAATTAGAGGTTATAAGAAATAAATTGAAGAAATGCTTGAGATTATATAGGGTATAATATTGTTCAATATCAGGTGGAAGGTGAAAAATCTCCTTTTTTTTTTTTAATGCTATTTATATCCACTCAATTATAATATTGATAGCAACTTTAATGCTTTAGGGGGCAAAACTCGTCTTAAAATATTTTTCTCATAAAAGACAGTTATTTCAAATAAGTTAATACAAACTCTTGCCCAGACAACTATTGATGTATGCATGATAGGGCTTTTATGCATTTTTTCGCCAACAAACACATACTCTTCCGGCCCTAAACATGACCGGAGGAATATTATAGATTAATAAAATCAATGTTGATACACCATGATTTGCATAATTTATTTTATATGTATAAAATGAAATGAACAAACCGTAGTGAGGAGGTGTTTAGATAGAATCAAAATATAATTTTAAAAATACTTTTATGGTATACGAAGTCAATATATAGAAGAGTTTATCTCGATTTGCGGTATGGCGTGTACAGATTTTTGTTTGTTTTTTTTGCCAATAAACACGTAGATATATGACGTGTGTATGTGTGTCTGTGTATTTCTGGGTAACGCCCTACTGAGAATTTGCATGCTTTGTATATTCTACCTTTATTGTTGAGGATGAAGGCATAGATTGAATTTTGTGGAAAATGTTAAAAATGAAATCGGTGGTTCGCAATTAAAAGGTATTCCTTGAAAAAAAAACAAGAGTGTTTGTGCATGTTTACTATTCCTTGAAAATGTAAACGAACGTTGTGTGCACCAACGTTCGTGTTGTTCCGTCTCCAACGGAACCTTGCGTTGCTTTCGTCGTACTCGCTTGGCGAAATAGAGGGATGCGTCTTCCGGTGATGTGGCCATCCGCGCCTATATAAGGGATTGTCCAGACAGCGTGAAATATACACTGCTCCGTCCTCTTCCTCTTCTCTCCCGCTGTGTTCCTTGTTACAGTTGCTTTCGCTGTTCTGCTACCTTGCTTCGCAGGAAGGGTTCGTTTGATCCTGGGGAGTGCCGCTGCCTGTTACACTGAGGGGTTGCGGAATATCTCTCAAGGACAGTGTCCTTATGACGCGACTCGAACCGGATTTGCTGTTCCTCCTTTGCTGCCGCCAACAGTTGTCCGGAGCAACTGAATGAGTGTTTTCAAAATGATTGTTCGGGTGTTAAACTCAGTTGATGTAGTTTTCCTTTAGGCCTTTGGCCTTCTTTCTTACCAAAAAAAAAAAATGATACTGCCTCTGGTATTTGGGACAGGAGGTAGTATTAATAAAACTAAAAGTTCCTGAGGTGGGAAACATAGTACAATGAAAATGGGAACTAATAAGTTCAACGGAGAATATAAAGAGTAGCTCTGAGAATAAAGATATTACATCCAGTCATCTTCATGAGAAATGGTGCAACAGCGAACCTTGAAAGCACAATAGTACATGATAGTAGATAATAATATTCCTGTTATATTTACTCTTATAAAGGATGATGAACCAACCATTTTCATTTGGCTTAGGTGCAGTTATGATAGGAGGATTTAGCCGTTTGGCTTACAATTATTATCAGAAAAAGCTGGAGTCAAGAGGGATAAAGAACTAGGAACTTCATGAACGACTAAATGAGGGGGCCACACCTTTCCCTGATGTAGAGCAATATTCCTTTTGTGCGAAAGAGTTTGGAAAAAAACAATAATTCCTAGTAAGAGATAAGCGTGCCCATCCTTATACAGCTGATATAAAGTATTTTTCAACCATAGCAAAAACAAACAAACAAACAAACAAAAAAAGGGAAAGAAAGAAAACCAGAAAGATTGCTATCAGGAAGTTTAATTGAAAACACCCAACCATGATGAACGAGCATATGGGCAATGAATGATCAAATGCTCCAAGGATTCATCTTGCTGACAGCCAAAAAGACACTGCCCAGAGACGTTAAGACAATGGTTGATAAGAATGTCTCGTGTGGGAAGAGCTTGATGAAATAGCTTCCATATTAAGAGCAATTGCTTGCAGGGCAGAGATATGGACAGCAAAAATTTCCAAAAAGGATCCAAGGTTCTGGTGGAGGAAGAGAAGTTAAGAAAGCATGCCTTGAATCCATCTTTAACCTCATATGAACCAGAGGCATTACCTTCCCAGCATAAATGTTTCGGGATATTAGTAAGGGATATAGGGACTTTTAGGATAGATTCAACCGCAGCAGAGGAATAAAATTCATGAATTAAAGAAGCATTCCACTGCAGGGGGCTCCAGTTAGAAGGAACATACACTAATAGGTCAGCAACATATTGAAGATTAATTTGCGTTGCAGAAATCTTCCTGCATGGGCCACCATAAGGGGTAGCTGAGTGGGATTGAGGAGCCACCACCAACTCTCCATTTCAGGCTATTAAAGAGCGAGAGTTACAGACGAGGCTCGTTGTGGGTGAGACGCCGACCAGAAGAGCGACCACCGACTCAGGATGAGGCAAGAGTGAAGCACGAGAGACATGCAGCACCATTGCAGCGGCACCTGGGAATACTCCCTCTTTTTTTTCCGTCCAAGCCCGGGAATACTTAATTTGTTAGCATATACTTCTGTTTTTTCCGAAAACGGAGAATGTTGAAAAGATGAAAAGACCAAACTATCCCTGCCTGGTGTACCCAACCTCGTATCAGATACAGAAAAGGAGAATCCACTTGGAAGGCTCGTCTCCTTACGACGGAGACCCTTCGACAGAGGCACTGCGACACCAGGAGCCATTCCGCGCAAGTGAGCCGTTCCGACGAAGAAGGTGTCGCGTTGCACGAAGGTTTTAGCTAGGGTTCGAAAATTTTGCAAAGTTAGGTATGACTGTGATCGATTCTGCTTGCAGATTAATGAGTTACTCATTGCTATTGTTAATAAGTAGAATTAGTTATTAGTCTGAACTGAATGTGTTTCACGGAATCATCTCAATGCTTGCAACTATCGTGCGTGTAACAAAACCGCATTTGGCTGCTGCGATTTGAAACAATATATGTGCTTAATCCTCATCACCATACTAGAAGCTAGTTTGCTTCTTCTTTTTATGTAAATCCATACGTTGTGGAGAGGAAACCATGTGATTTAGCAGCAACACAAACATAAAGTTACAGATTTTTGTTTACTTCTCTTGTGAGTATTACTGATTAGAACAAAAGGAACAGGACAATGTTTTATCTTTTACAAAATTGCAATTGTAAAATCTCTTCATAAGAGAAAAGTATTTTATGACTTGGGAAAACTATGATACCCCATTACACTGTAATGTAATCTCTCTTCCGATACCATCAAGTTAACTAGTTGGATTTTAGGAACACCTTTGACAGAATTTGTAGTTTTCCCCCTTTTTTGTTCTTGAAGTGACATTTTCAGAACTAATTAACATAATAATATGATATCTCCTAAATCATGGAAAACTTGATCCTCGAACTGACAAATCCTAGTGTTCCAATCTCTATGAAACAACTTGAAGCTTGAACCATTGATACTACTACACTAATTAATCCATCGACCTCCAAATATGTCCTTCAACTTGTGCACTTGTTTTCATTTGATCCTGTTTGTGGGCTTCAAAATGATATATTAGACTCATGTTCTATTGTATGTATATGATGAAAAGAAAAGTGAGAAGAATGATGGTGAAAGGAACTTTGCCTGTCAGGTTGTCCCTAGTGACTAAGTGAGGATCATATATTAATTAGGAAGGTAATGATAATGACATGAAATAAGAATAGTGTAGGTTATAATCAGAAAGACTTTTTATGTTCTATTGTAACGTTATCACCTTAATTATGCCTAAAGTTTGGTTGATTTAGTGTGCTTATCATGTTGGAATCTCCAATATCTTAAATTTCATCTTGTAGCTATTTTATCTATATGTTACTTAATGGAAACTTGATTTCATTGGAGTTTAAGCTGTTTTAAGTTTCCTGCGTTGTCTTTTAACTGTGATGCTTAAATTTTGGTTACAACTCGTTTAGTAATCTTTTTGCATGTGGTTTCTAAAAGATACATTGTTTAGAATGTAAAATATTTTCACCTTTTATTTTTTTTTTTTGGTGGAAAATCTTTTAACCTTTTATACTAGCTTCTACATTCCTTTCGGGAAATTTATATCTCCATGCTTTGTCTTTCTTTTTGCTTTTTTTAGTTCTGATGGAAATAAAAACTTACGCTACATCTTAGTGTATGATTTGTGTATATCAGTGTTAAAAAATAAATGTTCATGCTGAGTAATCTAATTTTCAGTTTTTAATCTTTCGGGCACAAGAGTAGGGAGTTGCTAGTGGGTAAATGCAGTGAATCTCGTCTAATATAATACGGAACTTGTCAAGCATCAGCAAATTTGAATGTAAGATATTTTTGTTATAATCGATCAAAGCTTTAAATGGTCATGAATTTACATAAATACGCCTTTGATTAACTTGGATATAGAGTCTCAATTTAAAAGAGTTATTCTGACGATAGACAAACTTTGTCTTGTATACATAATGTACAATTTTTTAATGTGATCCGGTTGTGTCATTGTTCTTTTTTATTATTTTTATTTCACACAGAGAAGGAGCTGTTGTTTCCATATTTCTTTGCACTGATATGTCATGTATGTTGATTATTGATGCCTGTCTCAGTAACTTGATGGAGAGTTCTGAAGAAGAAAAAGATGCTGTTTCTGGGGCTCATGCTATACCCTTGGAATTGAGCCGTTTAGCATCTAATGGTGCAAAATTTGTAGATGAAGTACTTAATGGTCATAATCAACGCTGTATGGAAAACTTTCGCATGGATAAGCATGTTTTTTACAAGTTGTGTGATATTTTGCAAGCCAAGGGCTTACTGCGTCACACAAATCGAATCAAAATTGAGGAGCAACTGGCCATATTTATGTTTATAGTTGGTCATAATCTGAGGACTCGGGCTGTTCAAGAGCTATTCCGTTATTCTGGAGAAACCATCAGTCGTCACTTCAACAATGTTTTGAATGCAATAATGTCAATTTCGCTCGATTTTTTTAAGCCTCCAGGCTCTGAGGTTCCTTCAGAAATTGTTGAAGATCCTAGGTTCTACCCATATTTTAAGGTATGATTTCTTTTACTGAATTGACCTTGCTTCGTGATGATCCAATATCACTTTTTGAATATTTTTTAAAATAGGATTGTGTGGGAGCAGTTGATGGTATACACATGCCGGTGATGGTTGGTGTAGATGAGCATGGACCTTTCCGCAATAAGAATGGTTTACTTTCACAACATGTTCTGGCAGCTTGCTCGTTTGACCTCAAGTTCCATTATGTTTTGGCTGGCTGGGAAGGATCTGCTTCTGATTTGCAAGTTTTTAATTCAACAATCACAAGGCGGAATAGGTTACAGGTCCCTGAAGGTAAAATTGTCTTTAAAATGTTGACATGATTTAGGTAGTGATGCTGGCTATAATGACATAATGGAATCTTATCTCTTGCCAATTTGAATAGTCAACTGTTATACTCGTATTCTGGGTAGAAGAGGTTTTGTTCATGTGATTTCTTTATGGCTAATGGTTTTTACTTCGCATGCTAGAAATAAGTGAAGGTTATCATGATACAGGCAAATTCTACCTTGTAGACGACAAGTATCCAAACGTGCCAGGCTTTGTTGCTCCTTACTCAGATATTCCCTACCACTCTAGGGAGTTTCCCAGCGGTTATCACCCACAGGATGAAAGAGAATTGTTCAATCTAAGACACTCATTGTTACGAAATGCTACTGATCGAGCTTTCGAGGTATTAAAGGCACGATTTCCTATATTGATGGCGGTTCCTCCCTACCCATTGCAAACGCAAGTAAAGCTGGTAGTGGCAGCATGCGCGTTACACAATTATATCCGCATGGAGAAACCAGATGATTGGCTTTTCAAAATGTATGAACAGAATGTTTCACTTCAAATGGAAGAATCACTACCCCCAATAGAGGTTGAACAACCAAAGTCAGATATTGATATGCAGTCTCTGGAAGACACTTTTGATGCAGAGCAACTTGAACTTGCTGCGCAGTTAAGGGACTCTATTGCAGCTGAAATGTGGAATAATTTTATCCATTCCATGTCTCCTAGTTAATGTCTTTTGCATCATTTTGTTAGGCTAGGTTTGAAATTTACTTAGGGTGCACAGGAGATGAAAGGATTTTGATTTTGAGAGTCATATTGACATTGGCATCATTTTGGTCATACGATAGGTGTGCTGGGAAATTGCATTTACTTTATAGCTTCACCGATTGCTTTCAGAAGATGGATTATGGTCATCAATTCAGGGGCAAAGTATCAATTTTTCCGGTGCTTGCTTGTGTATGATCACTGGAAGAATGAAAAATCTGTGTATTACTACTTTGTTGATCAAAAGACATGGGATTCAGTTTGGCTGATTGAGTCCTAAATCTGAACCGTACAAATTAAAATTGGACATCCAGATTTAATGTAGTTTAGTTTAAATATTTTAATACTTCCAAAGATATAATGGAGTTCCCTTTTTCCAAATTGGAAATCTCTTGAAATTCGCCCTTTAATTTAAGCTTTTACTTACTATTTTCCTCAGCACTCTTTGTGGAGAGTCATAGGGTTAAGGAAGAATATCAAATTAACAATAGGGCATTTTAATGTTAATTTTTAATACTTAGATCATCATCCAATATGATTACATTTTTAGGATGTTAATAATTGTAGGGTAAAAAGTAATTTTCACAACCGTAGGAAAACCTTCTCCAATGATTCTACATTAAATCACATAAAAATTTTAAGAATCGAATCAATTACTAAAAAAGTTTAACAATCACGTCAATTATAATAAATTAAGAGTAACTCCCTATAATAGATAACTAAATGATTTTATTTAGGCAAAATTATGCTATAGGACCAAAATCACAAGTTTTTCTAGGACATTGCAAATTTCTGAAATTATTCTGAAAGAGGTCGTTCTCTGCAAAACAAAAAAAGTGATGGTTGGATTGCCTTTTTTTTTTTTTAATGCAAAGGAAACGAAGCAAGTCTCTGAATAGTAAATTAATATAATATGTATTTAAATTTGTAAATTCTTCGGCAAAAACGATTTATAGAATTTAACACTTGAAGGACGCAAATTTATAATCCTTGTACGAAAATTTACCACTAGTCAGATATCATAAATTTAGCAGTAACAGTTAGGACAATTTAACAATCACAATTTATTTATTTACTTTTGCAGAGTACCAGGACCTTACCACTTCAGAGTAATTTTAGAAATTTACAGTCCCTTGACATAAATAACTTCTAGTTAGAATAAATTTTCCTTTTGTTTGTGCATTTAAATTATGAAACCGCGTGAAGCACAGGAGTTGGGACCTACAGCCACAGTAAAATTATTGAAACCATGATTATAAGCGAGTGCATAAACATATCCCCCAAAAAAGTAATTATATATAAAACGATGACTTGATTTCTATACAGGAGCTCTTGAAGAATTTCCTGGATTCATAAAACATCATTATTGATCACCCAAAAAAATGATTAAAAGTCAATTTACTCACAATGTAAAATGAGTGCATTAAAATGTGGGCACATCACATCAGAAAAATTTGAGTAAAACTCAAATTACCCAAATAATTTAGAACAATAAAAACAGAAATCCAATAACACAATAAAAAAAATTAACAGACAGTCAGAAGGGTGAAAGGTCCACATGAACGAAGCTTTCTACAAACTCGTGCCTTCTTTAAGCAATTCACAGAAAAAAAAGGTGTGAATATAAAACAAGAAATCCAGACAAGTCCTTGTTGTGCTCGGAGAATTACAATGAGATTTGAAAAAAGAAATAATTATTAAAAAGTTTCAATAACCATTTAAATAGTTTGTAATAACAAGTTTTAGAATAAAAAATTATATTTTTTGTGATTTATTTTATAATTTTTTTTGAGATTTTATTACAATTTTTCCTATTATTTTTCTTGTGTCAGCAGGGAAGGTGACATGTTTTAGCAATGCTAGGCATTTACGCAATTGATTTAATATCCACAGACCAAAGCCTGAAACTGCAGCGCTCCAATTCAGTACTCAGTACTAACGTATGGTCAAGCGAAGACGCCTCAATTCCTCATTGAAGCAATCTCTTTCTGCAAGATAGCATCAACCGATGTACTAAAATTCTTGATGATTGTATTCCCAAAAACCCAAAAAAAAAAAAAAAAGAAATCTTGATGATAGCCAAATAGCCAATACCATGAAACCTCTCTTAAGTTGCCCTTTTATTTTTAAAAAAATTGTAACTCAAATGTCATTTGGGTGTGGCTGAACTAGAATCATAATTAAAATAATATAATCTCATTAAAATACATAAAAATATTTATATGTAATCCTACAAAGAATAATATTCAAGTAAAAAGATATTAATTTACAAGTAAATAAAATATTCATATGTAAACTATATAAAATTTAATAAAATAGTTTTTGAAGTATAAATATGATAAATTATTCTTTAAAAAAAGTCAAAATAATATCGTTTCGAGATCAATAAATTAAAAAATATAAAACTGTTTCCTGCAAAAATATTTTACAGTTACATTCCCCATTTTTTGTATGGGTGCTTGAGATGTTTTAAAAGTATTTTAAAAAAGAAATTTTAAATAAATTTGGATAAAACTCTATTTCAAATTTCGTAAAATTATTTTTAAAATTAAAATTTGATTTTCATCCAAATATATATATATATTATTTTTTTATCTGGCTCACGTATAGCACTTGGCAGCTCTCAGGTCAGCCATCTCACACACGCAATTGGTGTTCTTTCCTTGGGACCATCAGGCGGCATGTTCTGATACACTTGGCGAAGGAATCAACTTCAAGAACAAAACAAGGTGCTTTTTTTTTTTTTTTTCTCTTAAGAAAAACTACTTTTAGGGGTGTTTGGATGAAACCATATCATGGTTTCAGAAATGATTTTACAGTTTACGAGATAAAATGTGAAAGAATTTATCTCGATTTGCAAAAAAGTATTTTTGAGAAGCACTTTTCAAGGTATCCAAACACCCCCTTAGAAGTAGATACCACTCTATTACTTATTATAGGTCACTTGTATCTCCAAAATTTGTTTCAAAATAGGGAAAACTATATTGGAGGTACCTATACTTTCTCTCAATTTTTAATTGGTACCTATGTGTTTTTTTCCCTTTAATTAAACATTTAATTTTATCTTTTTAGCAACATTAGCTCTTATAACTTTATTTTATTGATATTTTTAGTCTTTACATAAGGATTAATGATATTAATAGAGCAAAATTAAAGATTTAATTAAGAACAAAAAAACACATAGGTACCAAATTGAAAATTGAGAGAAAGTATAGGTACCTCTAATATGGTTTTCCCTTCAAAATATAAATCATTTGTAGTATAATTAATGATCTTTTTCTAATTTTACCCCTATTAATTTAATAAAAAATTAATTAATCTCTCCATCTCTCTCTCAGCTTTTCATTTCCTATGCAATCCATCCCCTCCCATTCTCTCTCTCTCTCAACTTTTACTAAAGATAAATATGAAAAAAAAAACTAGTTAATTTAATATATTTCTTGATTTGCGGGTTTAGAATACAAGTAACTTATAATAAGAATAGAGTGGTAGATCATTTCAATTACTTATCATGACTATTAAATGGAATTTGACAACAGATAGATTTAATCATTTTTTAAAAAATATACATTAATTTGGACCAATAAAAATTAATTTGAACGTTTCAAAATTGTAGTGAAGCATGATAGAGGGGGGAAAAACCAAGCATCTAATTTTAAGCTAATTACTTCACTTGGAGGTTGAATACTTTTAGCCTCTGGGTTTTCTGTTGTCTTTAAACTTTTTAGGGCAAGAGACTCATTTATTATTCCAGCTTTTGATTAATTTGTATGCATTAAATCCTGAATTGTTAAAAAAAAAAAAATCTTCCCGCCCGGCCCCTTTCATCCATAGTTCTCAAACTCATCAAGTTTACTTAAAAAGATACACACAGACACACACATATATAAAGTCCTTTTTTGTTTAATTTTGAGCTATGAACTTCAAAACATTCTCAAAGTTGGCTTTTTTCCTCTAAGAACAGTACCATCATCTCTAGTGATTTAATTGAGGAAATAGTGAACTTTGAACTTTCTATTGGACATGAATGACTGCTCTTCGTGGTTGAAACTTTTTCACATGAATTTGCATAGCCACCATGAACTGTAAAGTTAGAGAGAGCCCACAAGTCCCACAAGCGTACCTAAAAGCAAGCATGACCAATTAAGTGCACTGTTAGTTTCTTTACTTTAGATGTAATTTGCACCTTTTAGGTTGATAACACAGTATCCAATTCACAGAATTCCAAGACTTCTCAATTAGGTGAACATTAAGGTACAATGTTGTTGCCTGACAAGATTCCTTATGTTCCAAGTGAAAAAATAGCATGATTCAGGGACACTAAGCTTCCTTTTTATTAAAATTGTAGCCATGTGAGTTCTTAGCAATAAATCAATTCCCATTCTTTATTTGAATTCCCAAGAAAGTATGAGATATTTAAATAACGGGGGAAATATCAGTAGAGATTGGATCAAGAGAAAAAGATTTGGTGTTTCTTAAATAAGATTATAAATTTTGAATAATTGTTGCAGTTGAATCAAATAATGTTTTAATTCGGTCTAATAATACGAAATATTCACTCCACTGTATATACTATCTCCGATCTTTAATATAAGACCTTGTTTGACTTTTATTTTGATCCTAAATATAAGACCCCAATTTACTTTGTCTTTCATATTTATGTATTTTTTTTCAAGATAATCCTTCTAACAATGATAGTTCTAACCAATATACTTGATTAGTAAAGATATTTTAGGAAAGATAACATATATTTATTACAAATAACTAACTTAACTTCTTTCTCTAGTCTCATCAAATTAGTCAACTAGCTCTTATAATTAAGACCGGAGGTAATATAAGACACAAATAAGCGAATTATACAGATTAAAAATTAATTAAATTTGATTAAAGACAATAAATATGTTGCACATATATTTTACTTTTTTAAAAAATATTATTATTTATAGAAAGAGAAGAAGAAGAAAAATGAGTAAGTATAAAAAAAAAGTAGGTAATAGCAATACAATATGTAATGGAACTATCAAAGGGTGCCAATATTTAAAAAGAAAAAATCGGTTAAAACTTCAGACA